TACAAGCATAGATAAATACAACAGAATATGTTACAAATAAAATAAGGTTGGTAATATTCAGATACAGAAATGTAATAATTAGGGAAAGTATGTGTATGTGTCTGTTCAGAGGATTCAGAAGAGGATTCAGTTCGGAGTTCTCGTGCCGTCTGAAACGCGTGTGCGCGGCGCGCTTCGTGTGTGTGTGTGCGGCTGTGCGCATAGAGAACATCGCGCGATCAATGAATCGAGTTCCCTTTCGCATTTTCTCTCTGGAATTGTTTAAAATTTGCTTGCTTGTGTAAATACGAACAAATTATAAACATATACTCTATTATGGTTAAATTTAGCAATTATTCCGCGGATCACATGCGTGCCGAACCGTGGGGCTTGGTCCGTACGGATCAACTACGATCCGATTAACCACTACTGCACTGCTACTCATTTCATGTACACTTGCATTTTAAATGTCATTTATTCTGCTCTATGTAATTTCACATTAAGTATGAGTAGGTAGGGAATCAGGGTTTTCTGATTCTTGTCTGTGTCGTCTCAGGCACTCAATGCCGTGTGTGAGCAGCGTCTCAAGGCTCTGACCGCCAAACACGGCTCGGAGAAGATCTACCAGCTGACAGGTCCTGTGGTGGGCACCCGTGACCTTGACCTGACCCTCAACAAGGGAGAGCTGGTAGCTGTCGTCAGTGAGATGGACACGCGAGGAGACCGTCGCCGCTGGCTGGTTGATGCAGGAGGTAAAACTGGCATGTGGAGAAATAAGTCATATTCCAGTTAAAAACAACTGAGCTGGTGTTAGTGTGAACAAGATTGCACCATAAAATAATCTTATATAATGCATACAAATGGACCTAAATTCCTGTTTGCACCAAGAATATACTGTAACATATTTAAATTAAATTCAAACAAAAGATATTTTCTTATTATATACAGGGTGTCTGCGAGTCCTTAAAAAGTCTTAATGTCTTAAATAACGTTTTCCTAATATAAGGCCTTAAAAAGTCTTCAAATGCCTTAAATTCGGATTCGATGGGTCTTAATTATTTTTGGTCTCATTACCGCTAAAATATCTTAAGTCTGACGGACCTAATGACTTTACAATCATTGGACAGACCGAAGATTTTTTCTTCCCACGGTAAGTTACTGCGTCATCAGAGAGAATTGCAGTAAGTTAGCAGAATACAGAATACAAGCTCGCGCTGAGGCTCACTCTGTTTGTCTCGAGACTTCAGAACAAATGAGTGTGACAGCACACATAAACTCAGAAGAAACACACTGAGGTAAAAATTCAAAATGTTTAGTTTATTCATAACATGATATAGTTAAATATCACCATGACATGTGAGCTATTTTGCTCTTACAGCAATGATATTTTGTTTTCTTTTTAATTTATACACATTAAATATTACATATGTATTGTAATAAAATGTGTATTTCCATGACAGGTTTAGGTCTTAAATGTCATATAAGGTGGTATTAAAAAGGTCTTAAAAAGTCTTAAATTTAACTTGTTCATGTCTGCAGAAACCCTGATATAAGCCCTTATGAACTTAAAGGGGTCAGTCACACTCTGTATAGCAAATTACAAACGATCTGATAATAGTTTACACTCACTTTAATGCTCAATAAAACTCATCTGAAAATACAGATAATACTTGCTCTAATACATCAAAAAATCTATCCGACCAAACTGATTTCATTTGCTTTAAAGCAAAATATAAACCATCTGATAATACAAATTACACTTACTTTATTGCAGTGATGTTTTGATAGCATGTGATATCTGTGAAACGGGAAAATGAGGTCTAATGACAATAATGGAGTTGTGCTGTAATAATAATAGTGCAGCTGTTGGAATAAAGTGGTGCTAGACTACATGTAGTGAAAGTTTATTTTAAACAATCACATATCGTCTACAATTGCTTTTCACATCACTTCTGTTGGTAACTTGGTTATTACAGCTCTTCCAACAGCCAGTTTCAGAAACACTTCTTTCCGTTCCTTTCCGTTTATATTTAATTCAATGTTTTATTTAATTGTTTTTTATTTTATTTTATTGCAGCTGAATGAAGGTATTTTGGCCTATGCTAAGATATAAAAAAATGATATCAGTCAGTGGACATACTTTTGTTATTGGTAATTTAAATTTTCAAGCAAGGATTAATAAAGCAAACATTCAAAGCTTAACTTGAAAAACTTGTGTAGTTTCTTTTTTATGTTTATTCATTAGGTTATATATATATATACATATATATATATATATATATATATATATATACATACATACATATATGCAAAATTCTACTATTTGTGTTAATTGACCACAATTCTTGCATTAGTACATTAATTGCTGTTGCAAGCCTTTGATAATGCTGTGAGGGACATCTGCTGGTCAAATACAGTTAAAGCACATCAAATCTGGTCTTATCAGTGTGCAGAATAGAAACACTGAAATGTGCAGGTTTGAATATCTTCATAAGATTTCTATTTTTTATTTTCTTCAGGCCCAAGGGGTTATGTGCCTGCCTTAAAACTGACACGCTACCACCAGATAACCGTTGACCCGCCGCAGTCTCCTCATCTGAAGGTCACACCCACCGGTCCAGGACCCCGAAGGCACTCCTACACACCCGGAGCCCAGCCGCTCCCAACCACCATGACCACGCTCTGTTTTCAGGTGACTGACACACATAGGCACAGAGACACAGGTGTTTTACTGACGGGTCATGAGGTCGACGAGTTACTCGGTCTGATTCGCGTGTCAAACAGAACGAGACCTTTGGAGATTGATGGCAGGTCTGCAGTATCTCATGATCATCAATCACACACACTTCAGCATTTGTAAATTCAGTATTGGAAGAACAGAAATGAACTGACGCTCCTTGTCAGCAGAAGTGACATACTCTATCACGGCCACCTACACAAGCACACGGCACCCACATACACAGCGATTCATCTGCCTGTCAAATGGTTCCCTATCATTGTGGCTTCATGTTTAAGAAAGCAGGTAATGTCGGCGCTTTTGCCTGTGACAGTGGGAGATACACGGCTGTTGTGTGACTGTTAAAATATGACATTTTTCTAGACAATCTTCACGGGTTGTTTATCGTTTTGACAGCAAATGGTAAACAGTCCGGCTATTACGACTCCCACATGAATTATATATCCAGGATTTGTTGCCTCGAGTGGAAATTATATAAGTTTGCATTTGCAAAGCATTTTTTTTTTTTTTTTTAAAAACAATATATTCTGAAGAATATGTGACTGGTGTTTACCCATGCAAAACTCCACAATGATGCTAGCATGCTGTGAGAGATTGCAAGGTGTTGCTTTCAGTATATTGCTAAGTGGTTGCATACTGGCTCAAAAAAAAAAAAAAACACTTACTAAATATGATTCAGGTCCCTTTTGAATATTTTTTTTCTAGTCACTTTTTTTATTGTAATTTAAACATTTGTATGTTTATTTATGTTATTATGAATTATTTTTGTTTATTATGCATCAAAACTAAAATTAATTATTATTTTTTTTAACCCAATGTTATTTTAGTTTTGGAGTCTTGAAAATGTATTTTAATCAGTTTTCAGTTTTTTATTTGTATTTCAATTAATGACGGCATGAAATGGAAATTCACCCTATATATTTTTTGAATGCATATTATTTATCTTATTGTGAATGATTCTTCCATTCAACCTTTGCACAGAACCAATTCCATCATACTTTTTTTATTCCTTGATAATCCATTACACTCAGATGCATGTCACAATACAGAAGAAAATATCTGCTGCTACTTCTGTTTGATTGCAGCTTTAATTTTGCCTTGACTTTAACATTTCAGGTTAGGGGTTTGTTTAAAACCCTATGAGCCAATATGATCAATAGTGATGCTATTCTTAAAAAGAAATGCCACTAATGAACATGATTCATAAGGCATTACTGATATTAACCACAAGGCGGAGCACTTTAATTTATCGTTTCAGATTTTCTTCAGAGCTCTTTTTCTGTCTCAAAACCCACCGACAACTTTAATTTCCTTATGAGTTAAAATAAACAGCCCACTCTTAACACTTGAAAATGTCTCAAGCACATTGTGCAACATTGAATACCACTTAACTTTCAAATCTAAAAAGATATATTCAACAGAGCACTCAAAAAGCACGTTTGTTCTCTAGACAGATTTGTTGTTTCAGTTTCGCTATTTGTGTGGGTTTTGGCAATAACAAACTGTGTTTTTGAATTTTATGCACTGTCAGTCTTTTCATCTAGTTTTTATAAGGGCAAAATCTCACAGAAGGCAACTTTTCCCATTACCAAGCATACTGAAACTCTCCGTTCTCCATCTGCAGGTGTATGCGGGCTATGACTTCACTGCGAGGAGCGCTCACGAGCTTTCTCTGAGGGCCGGCGAGCCAGTGCAGGTGGTGGAGCCTCACGATAAGCGTGGAAACAAGGAATGGAGTCTGGTGGAGGCGCGTGGCCAGAGAGGCTACGTCCCCTCTAACTACCTCGCCATCCTCCCCTCTGTGATCGTCTCACCCACCTTCCCTTATCGCTAGAATATCCTCGAGAGCACATCATCTGCTGCTGATACGACTGCTAGCCAGTATCCAAACACACACAGACCATGAGAAACACTTTCCCTGAAGGGCTCTTCATACGTGAGGGGGCGGATGGCTGCTGTTTGATGCGTCATTTGACTGGTGTATGTACTGGAGTGGTGCTTGGGCCCTGCTGTGGAGTGGTCATCCATATACTTGATCTCAGCTTTGCCTGGGGCTGTTACTGGTGGAGATCGTTTTATCCAATGAGAGAAGAGCTGCAGGGGCAGCAGACATGCTGTTGTAGCACATGGCTGCTGGTGGAGTTACAATTACCACTTGGAGCCACACCTCAGCTGTCCACTGGAATGACTCTTTTGGCGGGCCTGGTACTACTTTGCTATAAGAAATGGAGAATATCTGGGTTTTTACTGCTGAGAATGGATCTCATTTTATGAGTCAGACCACTTTTGCACTAGATGACTAACATGCAGACTTGAAGACAAGATCTTTCAAAACATTCTAACAGAATTCTTGCTTGTGCACCATTTTAATAATACTTGGTGGTTTTTAGTTATTAAAAATTGTACAGTGGATCTAAAAAGTATTTGGACACTTGGACATGCTTCAAATGTGTGCATGTCATTAATGCATAGATAACAAAATATCAATCCAACGGACATTTTTTTAATTTTTTTTTTTTAAATGCTCCAACACATTTTTAAAAGCAGAACTTTTCACAATTAAAAAGTTTGATGAATTCAAAATTATTAAACAATAGATATACTGCTCCAAATGAAGGCAAAAAAAATGGTCTGAACAACATAATGCCAATAGCAGCCGATATTTGACATTTTTTATGTTTGATTTAATAAGTGTTGGAAGACTTTTATTTTGACAGTGATGAAAACACCACACCAGACAAATGAAATCTCCTATTCTCCAAACTGGATGTGGGGGACAAACTTTAAATTCTTGATTTCAAGCTATGCTGCGCTATATCCAGTTGACTACTATGTCATATTCATTGTGCACTTTATATGAAATTGGCATTAGCTGGTCTTTATTTGCTAAAATATGATTCCAAGTGCACACACAGTGCACTGTTGATTACAGTGTTTACTTTTTTTAACATTTTTTTATTTATGAAAAATACTGTAATTTGATTACAGACTCAAGAAGTTGCTATATGAAGTATAAATCTTATTTTACAGATTTACTTTGTTCGATTAAGTTTTTTTGTTTGTTTCATTTTTTTTTTCATACTGATTACTTTTTTTCTAATTTTGTAAGTATTACCTAAAATAATTATAAATTTAAAGGCTCTCAAAGATATCAGCTTTGAGAATATCTATATCAGTCAAGCATGACAAACGTTAGTAGTTCATAGTTAATGTGATGAAATACACCTATGGTTATGATTTGCTTGCAGATGCTGGTTGGATTGATATTTACTTATTTATGCAATGGCGTTCATACATTTTTAATTGTGTCTTAAGTGTCCAAATACTCTTTGGAGCCGCTGTGGTGTGGATGTTGAAGACACTGTAACGATGTTGAATCTTTAAGCTACTCTTAACGCTTGCATGCAGATTCAGCTCTGGCTGCTGCATTGTGTTTGTATTGTGACCTCATAACCTCTGTGATGAAGAACTCAACCCATATCGAAAGATTCAAGAGTGCAGATGATTTGCTGCATTGTCCGTCATAGACAGCTGTCTGCCTGCAATTGCATCTGCTGTCCACTAGAGGCACCAGAGCATCCTCTGTGAAGACTGTTGTTGCTACCTTACTCAGTGTTGGGCTAATCCTCCAAACAGAGTCATATATTATTCATCTGATCCTCACAATCGCCTTAACAGGGATCCAGTGAGAGGCAGTTCATCTCCCGGCTGCTGTCCTCCTGGTGGTACCAACCCCTGAATATTGCATCATCTGTACATGTCGCTTTGAAGAGATACTAATTTTATTTATTCCAAATGTCATTAAACCGATTCAGTCCTGAATTAACCCATCAGACCTGCTGCAATCCGTCTCATATTTTCACACTTCTGTTATTCTGAGACGCGTGACCAGAAATTGTTCGTCAAAAGCAGCAAGCAGCTTTGGCTGAAGGCTTCCGCCTGCCCTCTGAGTGCTCTATTTATGCCCAGCAGATTAAAACACTGACGTGAACGAGGTGGAGAAGTTCCATCTGCTGCAGAGCTTTATTTTGGAGATGTGCATTGGGTTTGAGGCTGCTTTTAGCCCGAGTTCAGCTATTCCTCTGAGAATGTGCAAATGTCACGGCGGGGCTGATGATGACTGTGTTTTGTCACACTGCAGGCAGAGCAGAGATGCTGCGGCCATCAATCGCTCCTGCTTCCGTAAAGAGCTGCTTGTCAGCAGAGCTTTGATGCACTGAACCCCTACAGCTACTGCTTCCTCTATGTGACAGAACTCAAAGCTCTATAAATAAATTTCTCTATTCAATGGTCTAAAAATAGCTGCTTGTCTGCAGGATCCCTCTATGGCTCCCCCTGTTGGAGCAGTTGGGGACCGCAGCGGCCCTTCCTCTCTCACTCCTGTGGGAGGTGCGTCTCTCACATTATATCAAATCGTGCTCTGGTCATACTCTCCATCTCAGCTGATGAGCCATGGGGAAATGTTGTTGTAATTAGATATATTAAATCCCTCACAGCATTACATACCATGAAGCATTTCCTTATGGGAGAGCAAGCAAACCTAACACCTCTATTCTAGGTCTCTGCATTAGATGTCTTTTTGTGTTCGTATTAGAGAGAGAAGGGAGGATGAGCAAAGCAGTAGGGGTTTTAGAAGTCTGCAGTAAACCTAATTTCCACAATTTAATTTATTGGCTATTTTGGGGGCACTGCAAAAAAAAATTTCATTTTTTTCTTATTTTCCAGTAATAATATCTGAACATGCTTTAAACAAGATAAAATTACTTGATATTAAGATGTTTTTAGAGTTTATTATTCCTACCCCACTGGGATTTTATTTATTTATTTGGTTGGTTGGATGTTTTAAGCATAAAACTAACATAATTTTGAGGTATTTATGGTTAAAACAAGAACAAAATGCCAGTGTGGTAAGAAAAGAGATGTTCGATATATATATATATATATATTAACTGAAAATAGGCTTAATATCCTAATTAAATAATGTTAGATTAAGATATTAATATATTAAAGTAAATATTAAGTTAATGTTATTTTATTAATAGTAAATACATTTTATGTTAGTATGAATGTCTCAGAATATGTGTTTTCTAGTAAAAATTGTTATTTTTAAAACAAGATAGATTTACTTAAGAAGCGGAATTGCATAAAAATATGAAAATAATTTCAGAGAATGTCTTTGAATTGAATTTAACTTAAAATGAATTATTACTTAATATATAATGACAAATAGTATTTCCTTGTTTTAAGCATAAAATTTAAAATATAGTGAGATTTGTTAAAAAGAAAAAAAATAGGCATATGAAAAATAATTATATGAAATAATCACTGGTAAAGGTTATATTATTAAAATTGAGTAAATATTGTATTAATTTCTCAAAATTGTTTCATCATCTTTTTTTAAGATAATGGTTTTAAAATATTTCACTGTAAAGCCAGACAAAAATACTGATAAAGATTTTATGTATGTATGAGTGGGGTGAGGGATTGGAAACGGATCCTTATTCAATATCAAAGAAGACTTTTTTTCCCGGCACAATCAGGAATCCTCTTGCTGCCAAGGACGATCAGCATAGAACAGCTTGTGTAAGCTGACCAAAAGCTGCGCTGTAGACATAGACACCATAGCTTTGTCCGGCTTAAAGGAACACTCCACTATTTTTGAAAATAGGCTCATTTTCCAACTCCCCTAGAGTTAAACAGTTGAGTTTTACTGTTTTCGAATCCATTCAGCCGATCTCCGGGTCTGGCGGTAGCACTTTTAGCTTAGCTTAGCATAGATCATTGAATCTGATTAGACCGTTAGCATCGCTCACTCAAAAATGACCAAAGAGTTTCTATATTTTTCCTATTTAAAACTTGACTCTTCTGTACTTACATCGTGTACTAAGACCGACGGAAAATGAAAAGTTGCGTTTTTTTGTAGGCCGATATGGCTAGGAACTATACTCTCATTCCGGCGTAATAATCAAGGAACTTTACTGGCGCAATGATATTACACAGCGCCAACTCAACTGTTTAACTCTAGGGGAGTTGGAAAATGAGCCTATTTTCAAAAATAGTGGAGTGTTCCTTTAATGCTGGGTCTGTATTTAGTAACTTTTTGGCGTGATTGTGTTAGGGCTGTCAGCTGATCTGTGGCACAACCAACTTTAACCTTAACCAAAGCTCATCTTGGCTGGAGCTCAAGCCCAGCTGAAGCCCCTCATCACGGAGGACTTAAGATGGTGCACAGTTTGTAATGCAAGTAAAGATACGTGATCTGCTTTCCCATGCGGGCCCACTCCGAAATGCAGCAACACTCCTTGAGTGACCTCTGTGTGAGAGGGAATGTAGACTCAACAAATCACGCAGCTGTTTATAAGACTGAACTATACGTTTATTAAGTTCATAGGTCACGGTTTAATGTTTCCTGCCCAGACAAACATGCCTATCTGACATTAAAGGCTTGTGTATTTATAGAGCATACAACGTGAAAGTCTTAGCATTTTTACATGGAGATGAATTATAAATCGACATGTGTCATGTCATAATTATGAAGGTGCCATGTCAGTCTTATGCACACCCCTTCAAGTAAAGTGTTACCTCATGTTACGTTATAAAACAATTATGTTCATGTACACATGCGTCATATTGACATACAGAGATGATGAACGTGTATTTTCTGGGACTGTTCGTGGACTTCGTGGACTGTTTACAGGTTGACCTACATACATGCTGGACCGTTGAACTTTCACTTCCATAAATCCTATTGGTCTTTAAGTGTGTGATCAGGTAGTCGTGGATCCCGTCCAGCACAAGCAGGCGAGGACAGATTCAATAAATCAGCTCAATGAGGATCCAAACATAAGATTTCCATCTCGGTTGGTTTTCCCTGAGAGGATGGCATGATGTTTTCTCTAGATATTGAAAAACACACTGAAATGTAGCATCTGAGTATCATTTCCGTTGATTTCTGGAGAGGAACGGTGTTCGGCGCCACAGCCATGCAGCTCGAGACTCGACCTCTTTTGCAGCCACCTCCATGCATATGTATCCCTCCTCTATAGGTTCCTGTCTCCTCAGATCTCTCCACCTCCCTTTGCTCTTTTCGTTCAGGCTCTTGTAAACAGTGCTGGCCCTGAATATCAATCATGTCAGGTGTCAACAGAGGGGTGGAGGACTTTGAGCTTGGGAGGAAAAGGTGTGTATGTTTTGGGGTCATGTTCACAAGTGCTCTAGTTTGCAGCGCATGTCCCCTTTGGAAATTTGATAGGATACTTTATCTTTCTTGTCTGATGCTCAGCTTACAGGTTGTTGCTTATTTTTAACCATATGAATCTAAAATGTGTTGCATCTGAATGCTTTGATCTGAGAAACATCTC